CTGCAAGGTCCGCCTTTGCTGCCTGCACACCTGGCACTTCCTTTGGAATGTGCAAGATTTCAATCGGCATGTTGAGACATCATCTAGAAAGCTGCTCCCATTTTGACCTAATTACATATTTCTGGTATCATTAACACGGACAGCTTGCTCTTCTGTAACACAGCCAGCTATTCGCTGGTGAAATTCCCTATTTAGATTCCAGTCCCCCTCCCCACAAAGCTATCATGAGTAAAATCACAGAATAACCGCATGTTGCATCGAAGTTTTTTTGTGGGAGAGAAAAAATTTCTAGATCTTCCCTTTAATACTTCTGAAGGAAAGTTCCCTCTCTGCTGAAAGAAGGGAGAAAACAGTGACAGAAAACAGAAAGGAAACATGAACCTGAATTCTTCTGGGGCTTCCTATATTTATGGTTTTTATACTTCCTGCACTTCAAAAAATTCTTGGCAGTAGAACTGCTTCTTCGCAGGATATGTCTCTGCCCTTGTTACAGTAACACCAGGTGCCTCTGTTAGGTGGATTTTAGCTTTGATATTGCTCTTTGATAACCTCATTTTCACAGAGTTTGTCAGACCGTCTGTATCTCTCTCTCCAGTTTGGATAGGTCACCATTTTGGCCAAAAATGAGCAGAAAACACACTAGGAGTTCAGCCGAAATCACCTGTACTGAGCTGTGTCATTCTGTTCAGCCACTACCTTCGACCAATGCCTCCCTGTTGTGCAGGCTCAGAAGTTAGATACTGCTTTATCAGGAGCAAGCAGAAGTAGCTAAGAAATCTCAAGGACATAATTGTTCATCTGTCACTAACAAAAACTAGATCAGAGATGATTCACTCTGCCTGATTGGTGAATTCGGGCAGAAACTTTCAACAATTAATTCAGTGGGTAAGGCAGTTCTAAGTCTATCCTACCATCCTCACCCACGCAAAGGAGTTAAAAGATTTTTCACATGTGCAGCTTAGCCACCAGACCAGACAGGGAAGAGAAAGGATCTCTCAGCAATTTAATCAAGACTGTGTTACTACTCCACAACAGCTCAGCTTACTTGCCATTGTTTTAGGCAAGCGCCAAATGAATGGACAAGTGCCAGACTTTTAGAATGCATGCCAAGAAAGAGTAAAAAAGTTAAATAGAAGACCTCATCCCTAATACACTTTAGCAATGAATGACCTACTTGGACTTCTCAGTGCCTTTCAAAATTTTCACACCACTTTCTGTCCTGCCATTTACCTGCAAGAGAAACAAAACACACAGCCACAGCCTGGGGAGGGGGGGATCAACAAACCAAGCCAGATTCCAGCAGCACAGCAGGAACCGTGCAGTCCAAGACCCAGAGCTCCACCAAACAGCAGAATCGAAAAAGCTTGCTTTCTGCAAAGCTCTGCCTGGAGGTTCAGCTCCCATGCACACATTACTGATGCCTAACAAGATAATTCTCACTGGTTGTTCCCTCAGTGTGAATGCTAGAAATGCCTTACTCCTTTTGGCACAAAAAGTTGTTTCAAAGAAATAAAAGAAACCACCCACAACCTTTCATATAATGTTTTTAAAACCTCTACCCCTGTTAAATTAGTCTGAAATTGGGTTATCGATGTAAAGATCTTTTTTTTTTTTTTGCAGGGTTGAAACACACATAAACTTTACCATGTAAGCAGTATTTCTTAGGGAACCACAGTGGCAACTAAGTGATCTGCATGACGTATTCGGGCATCTCAACCACACAAATCTCAGTGTGCCAACAGTCTTACTACAGGCACTCATACTCCAAATTTTATAGGAGAGAACGATATTAGTGACCAAATATCAGTGACCTTAAATTCTATGAATCTAAGATTATGTTTATTAGATAATAAATATTTCCAAAGGGAAATTAAAAACAAGATCATGGAAAAGCTGCACGGCTGTGAAATAACACCACACCAAGCTGCAGCTGCAGAGTCATACAGGAATTAAAAACTAGGACTTCAGTAGATATCTGGATCCCCAGTATATGAACGTGACATGTATCCTGCCATAATCAAAACCTGCAGAATATTAAACTTGATTTTCCTCCTGCAACCACATGCAGTAGGATGGATTCATCAAGATGGGGTACTGTTTATAATTTATTTGAACACAACCAACCCTGACGTGCTTCAAGGGTGACTAAGACCTGGGACTGCAGGGTTCTGTGCCCAGATCCACTACACATCTCCTGGGTGATACAAGCAACTTGCAGAGGTCCTGGGTATCAGAGTCAGTTCATAAAAAGTGAATAACCTATGTCCTTCCTACCTTTTATAGATTCTAGCAAGGCCTTATTTATCACTGTTGGAAACAAACAAAAAAAAAACAGTACATACCTCAAGACATGAGGTCCTCTGAAGAGGCAGATTAAGCACACTGCACGATGAATGATAAATCGAGTTAAAGCATCCCTTATTCTTATGAGGTGGAAAAAAATAACCCGTTAGTCTATCTTCCCATCTCATCTTTTGTTACCTGGCAT